TATATATATATATATATATATATATATATATATATATATATATATATATATATATATATATATATATATATATATATATATATATATATATATATATATATATATATATATATATATATATATATATATATATATATATATATATATATATATATATATATATATATGTATGTATATATATATATATATATATATATATATATATATATATATATATATATATATATATATATATATATATATATATATATATATATATATATATATATATATATATATATATATATATATATATATATATATATATATATATATATATATATATACGGGTCGGTTCTGGGTCGGTTCCAATAAGACTCGTAACCCGACCCAGAACCATCCGATTCTAGACACTTAAACCCATTACCCGACCCAGAACCATTTAGTTTACCCAGACCCGCCCCAAATGGGTCGGTTTCGGGTCCGAGACCCGCCAAACCCGTACCCATTGCCATCTCTACTTGTGATTAATCTTGTAACTACTAATTAAAAGGAAAAAAGACGATTTTATCCATATAATATTATAATTAAGATATGTAGAGATGTTATTAAGAAATTATAGAAACACTATTTTAATAATTTTAATAATATATCTAATACAAGGAAAATGAAAATAAAAAAGAAAATAAAGAAAATGGGTTCCAGCACTAAAATACACACGCGTGATCAACTTTTTCACCGAATTGACCCCAAACTTAACGCCGTTAACCTAGCCGTGAAAAAGCTTCCTTAGATTTCGCTCCGTGTCGCTGACTAACTGACCCACCAATACTGTCAGGCCGGTCCCGCGCGACAACGGCTAGTCATTCCTACGTGGCAGTATTTCCTTGCCACGTCAAATGCCTAATTACTTGGATCGCCGTTAATCTTTTATTTTGTTTGTGAAAATTAAATATTGTTCAATTTCTTTTTATTTATTCGTAATATTATTAAAAGAAAAAATTAAAAATAGTACTCCACATTTTAAATTATTTTCTAGCCCCAAAACAATTTTTCATTTAAATTTTCACCCTAAAATAGTGATTTCAGTTACTTGTTAACGGACATGTGACGGACGGAGTGGACCGTAAGTGCTTAGAAGCGAATTTTTTATGTGAAATTTGTTCACTTAGAACAATGAGGATCAAAAGTGGAATCATGCCAAAAATGAGGGGGCATAATTATAATTCTCCCTTAAAAAAAGGGTAAAAAAGAAAAACTAATATCGGTTATTGCCACGTGTCTCTGCTAAAGTGCGCCAGGCCCACGCGTAGCGTCGCCTCTTCTTCCATTAATATCGGGGCAAATCAGTAATTTGGCGTTCTGTTTTGCCATAAAAAGAGCACTAACGTTAGGCGGGGCGGCGCCTGGGGCGGTTACATGGTTAACAATACAGACAAGAACCTTTTCATCTGCTTTTTCATTCAAAAATTAAATGACAACAAAAGCTTTATTAATTATTTTATATACTTAATTAACAACAATAATAATATTTTAATTGATATTTTTCATTTTATAAATCTTTATTCCAACTATTCAAGTAATGCTAAATTTCAGCCTTTTCCAATTCCAAACTAAAAAAAATGCGCTTACAAAAAATTAAAGGATTGGAAAAATTACAGTTTTCACACCTCAAGTTTGCAGCAATATCATACGTTGGGCCCCTCAATGTTCACAAAAAAACACATTTGGTCCTTTATATTTCAATAATTTAATATTTTAATTCCGTTAATTTACTGTTAGTTTATCAGTTGAGGCAGTCATGGGGGCACACTCTCGAGTACGTTAGTACTAACGGAAAAATGACTAGAATGACTAAAATTGTTGAATTTTGAAACATGAGGGATCATATATATATATATATATATATATATATATATATATATATATATATATATATATATATATATTGTGAACATAATGGTTCAAATGTGAAATTGGTGCAAACTTGAGGGATAAAATTGTATTTTTCTTATTTATTTTATCTCACTCAAAGTTCCTTTTTTGAAGGTATCTTTTGCGTTTGTGATAATTTTGGCACTTTATCCCTCCTCAAAGTAATTTCAAAATTCACCTCTTTTATATAAAAAGAATAAACACAAAATCGTTTGAGGATGAAATAAAGTCAAAAGGATTATATGAGAAAGTAGATCATGATTATTCTCTAATCTTTGTTATTAATTAAGTTAAAAGCAAAATTAAATAAAAAATAAGCTACATTGTCTTTTATGATAATGTTGCTTACTCGAATGAAATTCAGATCGAAACTACCAACCTGTACTCCATCCGTTCCTAAATATGTGTCGTTTTCTATTTTTGTACAAGTCTTAAAAAACTCAATAAACATGTATTGAATTTAGAAAAATATATATATTATTAGACCAAGATACTCTTGTTTATTATTTAATGTTGGGAGATTATTACAAAGTTAATAAGAACATAATTGAAAAATATTTAATTAATGAGATATTGGAAATCTAAAAAAATTCGTAAGAGTGACAGATAGTGTAGAACGAAGGAAATATCACTTTAATTGCTTTAGTTTAACCATTAATATGTGATAAACTTCATTAATGGAGCATAAATATGACTATGAATAGTTGGGATTAGCAGCACTAAATGTAATTAACCTTAAATCAAAATAGTCAACAGTAATGAATGAGATTATGACTTTTAACCTTCTTTTTCCACCATTAATTACGGCAAGTTGCAGTTTTCAATTTTTTGAATAAATCTTAGGAAATCGAAAAAAGTTAATTTAATCTCATTATTATTATTATTATTATTATTATTATTATTATTATTATTATTATTATTATTATTATACGAATGTTACTAGACATTCTCAAGACACCTCTGCCAATAGAAGATACACATGTTTTACAAACCTAAAACCATGAACATGGCTTTCATTTATTTAATTAATTAATATTTTCTATATACTCTTGTAGAAACTACTAAAGTACATAAATAATAAAATCCACATGCATTTATGTCATCCAAGTATCAAAAATGAAAATAAATAAATAACAAGAAATTTAGTTGGTGGAGTAAAAACAGCTCGATCTACACATACTAACGTGGGTGTGTGTGTTTGTGTGTTTTGAATTGTTAGACCTACCTTGTATATTTCATCCAGTATAACATAGTATAAACCCCGATTCAAAATATGACTACAAGTTTTTTTTTTTTGAAAAAAAATTAAAAAAAGATTAATTTAAAAAAAATAAAGAAAAATAAAACCCTTTGAACAGAATGAATATTTGTCTAAGCTACAAAGAGAACAGCTCATTCAACCTCTCAGTCTCACCACCCAATAAAATCACACTCTTCTGTCTTCCTCCTTAATCTCCTCTCTCTCTCTCTCTCTCTCTACTCTCTCTCTCCACTTTCTCTCTCTTCATGCTGTAGAGATTAAGACCCCTCTTCTTTCTTTCACACGTACGCACCCATTTTGGCTTCTATAATACGTCTCTCCTTCACACACACACACACA